GTTTTCGCAACATTATTTTCATCTTGTTTATGTATAAAACATCTATTATTTGAAGTCTTTTGCACAACTCGCTACTTGTTTAGATAACTACTCCTTAGAGTAACATAATGAGACACAACCTAGATTTTGGATGAGTCCAATAAATTCATCTACCAGTGTAAGCAATCAGCAAAGAAAAGAACAGGAAAGACATTATTTCAGAGAAAAGGAAAAGTGAAACAAAAAAGCTCTTGCTGTAATATGTCTCCTGGAAAAGTGATAAAGGCACAGAAAACATGACAAGCTTGCAAATGGATAAACATCCTATCTGAGGAGTCCATTTGATACACGTATAGGCAGTCGTCCCTCAATTACTGAATAGCAATAGTGTAAATCCCACCTGTAATTAGACATTGTTAATAACCTCCTTAGAGGCGTCACTTCAGTTCTTACTGACAACACCCAAACTGAGGCATTTGTGAGCCTTAACAGCCTGTACTGTGCACTGGGGCTCTCTTGAGCTAGATGGAGCTGCTTTACTTTCCAAGTTGAGAGACTGAACACTACCTGGGGGAGTCAATGGACTACCCCTGCTAGGTCTGAATTCAAGTTCTACAACAGCTGAAATAAAAGAACTTTGTGTTTCCTTTGAACACAAACACTCAAAAAAAAAAAAAAGTACCCTTTTACTAAAAAGCCAGATATAAGCACTTTTTATCAAATGTTCCAGAGAACCAAGCTTCACATCAGACACCAGAAACCAGTGTCTGCAACTAAAAGAGAAATCTTATGCACAAGCTGGTATGCAGGGTACCTTTTGACCAGGATAAGATTTTCCTATTGGGAACAGAACAAGTAGTACAGACATATTTTACTACTATACTAGGAAAAGAGAGCAGGAGAAGAAAGGACACATAAAAAACCCTGAGTAACATCTGCACTATATTCACCTTTGATACCTTTGCAGCTCTCTGAAGGCAGTGCTTTGAGTATAGACCCACTTCAACAGAAGCAGAAGGAACAATTTATTCAGCTTTATACACTGAAGACAGAACTCTCAAAACAGCCCACAGTCCGACATCATTTCAGTACAGTACTTCTCATATGAAAAGTTTCAAAGCACATGACAATTTCAGCAGTTTTTCAAGGTCACAAGGGCAATCACAAACACAAGTCCCTGCCCCCTCCAACTGCTAATCCGCATCTAAATCCAGTATAGCTCTACTCCAGAGACTTATGCAATGTGAAAACCCTCATTCACTTCTCTCCTAGAATCATGGTCCAAAACTACTATATGAGGTATTATATATACAGCTGCAATATACAAAGGCAACTTTACACCTGTCAATGTTTATTTGGATGTGGTTTAACAAGCATGTTGAATACTCTTCAGAATTTCATCTAACTTCTAAAGAAAAGACCTTCAGCATCCCTTAAAAAGCTGCCATGAAGAACACAATTTCCTATTTCTAGATATGTTCCCTGAAATGTTGAGGGGAATATACTTTTAATTCTTTTGGAAGAAACTTCAAACAGTGATAATTATTTTTTAAAAAACAGACAACAAAGTACACACACAAACAGTAAAACAAGAAATAACATTAGTGGAAAATAAAATAAAACCCCAGCAAGCCAAGCTACAGTGTGTGTTGTCTGTGTCCCCACAGTTTCACTGAAACACAACTGAAAAGTTTACACAAGGGTAAATATTTCAGAAATAATCAGGTCCTGTGAGTTTTGTGGAAGTAAACAGTCACATCAAAAAGAGACATCCAAACTAGTGCCCCTTGAGGACAAGTGCAGCAGAAGCTCAGCTGTGTTACCAAAACCATCATCCCATACAGGACAGACAGTGCACCAAACAAATGAGAATACTTACAGAACTCACAGTACCCTATACCCAACCACAAGACACAAAGCCACAGGAAGTCAGGTTTCATAACTTGCTGCTCACACAGATAGCTTCATTCTTGATTAACTGAAGCAAAACCATGAAAGAACTACTCTCCAGAATTTGTTGTAGTTTTAACACCAGTCATTTTCACACAAAATTTCAAAACTAGGGACAAAAATTTGGGAACAGATATTTAGTTACCAGTCACAATAAACAAGCAATCCTTAGAGAGCAGTAGGACAATTTCTGCAGGCCTGGCAACACTTAAGGAGCCAGTAGAGGGTAGAAGCCAGTCCCCCTGCATAGCTCAGCACCCTCTGCAGTGCTCTAACGTGCCTTTTAGTGGGCACAGCTGTACTGGCACGTCCGTTTGAATTAGGAACATGCTTTTGAAGTAAATCTGTCACCCACTTCCTGTATTTTAGTTCACATCTCATAGAAGTTTCTGCACAAATGACCTGAACATCTCCAAGACTGACCTACATCAAACTCTGGGAAAGCTTGGAACATACACAGTCCACAGAACCAGACTACAATTAGTCTAAAATAAATCCCACGAAGTACACACACTGGGGACAGAGTCTACCTAACTTAGATCTTCGCTCTACAACCTCCTTCAACTGCAGCATATCGCTTGCTAATGTAAATATTTATCAATGTGGCAGGTACTGTCCATTCATTTATGAGAACCTCAAGCAGCAGGAAGTAAACCCACAGACTTAAGCTGTCAACATGCACCTTAAAAACCCTAGAAAGGAGGCCTGCACAGGCTGCTCCTTTTTCTGGAGTAATGATACTAGCAGTGTACTACCACTCATCCACTTTTGTTTCCACCCCTTTACAGGTTAGGAGTTTCAAAAGCTAGTGGGATACTCTAGAAAAGTTTTCTGAATAACGAAAAAGACAGCCCACCAAAGATCTACATACTTCACGCATCACCTACAATTACTCTTTTACAAAACTTCTCAAATAACATTGGAAAGACAGCTCAATCAATGGTTCCATTGGAGGTAGTGATAGGAAAGCAGCATGTACTCAATAATGCTTTTTATGACTTGCACATCAGCTTAACCAACAGTCACCCAGAACTGTTTAACTGTTTTATTTTTCTTTTGGAATAAGCTGACCAACATAATATTCACTGTTCCACTTGAATCAAAACATCAGTTCTTAACAAATATTTCCATCACTGAGGTGTTCTCTCCTGTTACCAATTTTTCTTTTTCGATAACATTTTAAATAGAAGATAATGAGTTTCAAACATATACCTGCCTTTAGCAGGACCAACAAGCTGGTGAGAACAGACCAAAGCAGTACTGCATGACAAACTTACAAGAACATGCTACCTCCTCTGCTTGATAAATCCTTGTCATCTAACTTCATTACCTCCTTGATAAAAACAATTAATTCATATGCTAACAAAGCAGAGCCATGTTTGCTCTACATTCAGTAAAGGTCAAGTTCCTATACTGGGGTGCAGACACAAAAGTAGGATTACTGAAGATGACATTTTCTGTTAACACACTAATCCCATGAAAACTGAAAGAACTAATGACACTTTCCTTTGTGATTTAACTGGAAGTCTGTGGTTCTTGACATATCATTACCATACTCACTAAAAAGCCATTTAATATTCTCCAGCAGCCCAGTCTGAAACATCCTTAAGCGGTGTTTTTCTGATCTGTTTCATGTTAACTCTTGTGAAAACAGACTTAAGCACCTAGTTGTACTATTTGTTTGAAAGAAAACTCAATTAATAGTTATTTCCATCAAAGATGAAGAAAATCTATGCCAGGAGACAGTAACATAGTGACATCATAAAATAACACACTGAGGTAATGTTAATGAGAAACTAATGGTGCACAGGGAAAAAAAGAATTGTGGGTAACATTTTCACAGCAGAACAAAAATACCTGGGCCTGAGTAATTTCCTTCAAAATAGTAAGAAAGGCTGCTGTCTGCTGAGACACTGAATTTTCCCTTCTGTCATCATCCTCTACATTAAAACATCTTTGTACTTTCCTTCCCAAAACAGGGTTTTCCAAGAGCCAGAATACTAATTTAACCTACACTCACTGGCAACCCTTATATTTCAACATACCAATAATGTCTCAAGAAACTGAGATGAGCTGAACTGCTCATCTCTAGAAACTAGAGATGAGCTACCCAGCTTATTAATTTCTTACCAGCTTCACAAAGATTTTCAGACCAGTTTTCTTCTGAAGCGACACTAATAAATTCTTCCAAATATTTATCTGACTTTATCATATGATACAAATATAAATTTGCACAAGGCTTGAGCAAATTATAAGCAGTTTGAATAAAGTTTCCCACACTAGACATCTGTCTAAGGCTGAAAAACATAATCCAAACAGCTAAGAAGTTTGCAAAGTTTTCTGTTAAGTAAAAGCAGTACTGATAATCTTTCTGGAAACTCCGCATCCTTGTTCTTACATAAGGGATCATCTTTCAATTTCTCCTTCTTCAGCTTCTCTAGTCAGAAGTCATTCTATCTGGGTGGCTTTTTTTATTAAGAAGCTGCAATTACTGGTCTAGATTTTGACATTAAATTCCCTGAACATTTTACATATACCTGAGATGCTGGAGGTTGGGGCTAAACCTGACTACTCTAAGATGCATAAAACATTTATGCTGCATTCACATTGCTAACAGACAGTGAGAAATAAGAAGTTACAATTCACACCCTGTACAGCTATAAGCCAAATCATGAAGACCATCAAGCATCAACTGAAGCACAGAATTTAAAAAGTAATATGTAAGAAAGGAACCAAGACAGCAAAAGTTTTGATTTCAACTGTTTTCCAAAGAAATTACCACTGCTCTCCTCCAATTTAGTGAGAAGAACAATACTCATATTGAATCACTTCAGTTGCTAAAAGGCCCAAGATCTGAAGAATGCTTCTTTTGCAGGGAAGTGCAGCATTGAATTCAGAGAGATCAGTGGACAAGTGACAAGAACTAAAAAAACAAACCCCAAACAAAATAGAGCATATTTTATTAAGGTAGTGAGCAGAAAGAACCAGTCCTAGGGGAAAAAAAACCAAAACTACTATGGGCACAAAAATATGTATGGCCTGTTACAGTAATCACTCTCCACAGTCGAAACATGGAGTCTGGAGCTTTGATTCTTTCACCAAGGCTTTCCCATTCATTTGGAAGAAACCATGCTTGTAAAAGCCAATGGTTAGCTAATTATGTTCCAGTGCTGACTGGAAAAGAACAGCCATTTCCCACTTCCTAAGCTACAGCAGTAAACCTATATGGCAGATTTAAGCATTCCTACTGGACTGATGATGCAAGGCACTACCAAATGATCCATTTTCATTTTCAGTGTTTTTTAAAAAAAAAAAACAAACAAAAAAAAACAAAAAAACAACCCAAGACCAAATCAAGCAACAGAAACCACACTGACAAACCAAGCCCACCCCTGCCCTGCTAAACACTGTGGCAGCAGCATTCAGCAAGGTGTGCTGCAGTCTGCTCCATTTAAGGAGGACATTCAATACTCACTGACCACTGTTCCATGCACATCCCATCCCTTGCTGCAGTCTAAATAAGGCCTGCTTCAAAGAGTAACACAAATACTTCATAAACACAGATTTTTACATCCACTACTAGGAGCAGATTTTAGTGCCTTTCCCTTTTGTCATATGGAAGCAACAGATTCATATAAGAAATACTCTCTGCTCTCCATTGGACCCCTGAGAGCAGTAGTTTTTGACAGTGAGCATGTGAAACAATTGTTCAACACACACATTTTGCAGGCTTGAATTTCAATTGTAATAGATTTTTATTTCTTGAGACAAGTTTACTAAATCAGAAGCACATATTAGTGATTATCATTGGAAAAGCTTAAAAGAGCAATGTACCCCAGACAAGAAAAGAACTGGATTGTCCAGGATAGCTACAAGACTACTCATTTCTTTCTCTTGTTCCTTACATCACTAACTGGTCACCTCATGGATACCACTACAAAAGAAAAATGGGTTCTCAGCATTCCCTATGCAGCCCTCTCCATACTACATTAATTACATGTCCCTCATCCTGATGTTTTGTGCCTTAATTAAATCACCGCCCTATGTAACAGCCTCCTCTAAATATCTGCAGAACAACAGATAAGGGCCTACACAAATAAACAGAACATACCATCCCAGACTTCAGAACATGGAATACACACATATTTAATGCTCATTTCCAATTGATCCAAGCAGCATTCTATTCTAAATGGATTGTCTCTTCACAAACCTCTGACCCTCCAGTGTTGATGTACTCTCTCAAACACAAGTCCAGTATAGAAAACTTCATATACTCTGGATATGCAAACTCAGTTAAGTGTTAAGGTATAGAAAATGCATACACATAATGGATGTACTGGAGCCCAAGCGCACACACACAAGAACTTGTCTACACCACATTAAGTGCTTTTAGTTAGCCACTGACCTGTCAACACCATGATGAGTGCTAGTTTCAGCAAAAGTTAACCTTTAAAGTTAATGGTCAATTTATCCAGTGAAACAAACAGAATAAAATAAACAAACAAAAAAAGCACTTACTTTACCAGAAACCCCTTGACTGTCCTGTAACCTCCTTTAATCCAGTAATATTCCTAACAGTACTAAACTGCCTCATCATCTTTATTCACTTTTTTTCATTTTCACCAGGTATCATAACTATAAAATATTTCTCTCCATACAATGAGCAGCAAAGAATCCCCACAGCCACCAATCTGTACAGGACCCTGGAGCCGGTTCATCATCCCTCCCCCACACCATTTCAACTTTTCATAGCCTCAGCCAAAAACGCCTGCCTCCTCTCTTATACACAGATTAACCAACTCAGCAGTACGAAAACTCCAGCTTCCCTTTTGCACAAATACCATTCCCCTGATACACACATGTATACATATCCTAACATAATCTTCACCCTGGGTACAAGTTCATTCTTCCCTCCATTTTCAACCATTCCCAAATACCCACCCAAGCCCCCTCACTTTCCTATAGTCCACAGTCATCCTTGAAAATTTACCTACAAGAAGACAGTGTTGATGATCTAATAGAAATTTAGAGTGCCTGATACCTGTCAGAAACATGTAACTACAGTTCTACAGCTCCCCAGCACACACACAGACTTTTCTCCAAAAAGCACTATCATGATCCCAACAGCTAGCATTTGCTACATGTTTTCCCATTTGTATTCCACAAACTAAACAACAAATATCCAGCCTTTCCACTTCGTTACAGGTGAAACATCAACTCACAGCTCCTCTCAAGTTTCCAGGACACAGACCACGTTGCTCGCTACTCTAGCCCATGTCCACACACCAGACAGAGAGCTCATCGAGCCGGTGACAGCCGGGCATCTCTCTCAGCTCCCAGTGTGAGCAGCAAACAAACCAAAGCACAGCAGTAGGAACACGCATGACTTGCTGTCCACATACCAGCTCATATTACACACTAAGGTCTCGCACATTAAGTCTAACCACACTGGCCACGAAACAAAACAAGTTCAGAACCTTGTAGCAACCTGTTACCACTGTGCCTGTAACTTGTATACAGGCTTCCCTACCACCCAAAGCCTCCCTCCTCCATAGCCTTTAGACGCCTGCCAACTTACCACCTTATTTCTCAAAACACACAGAAGCCCGTTTACCTATTACTCCTATATTCACAGGCCTTCCTGTACCACTACTCCCAAACACGTGTGGTTTCACCCACCACCTGCATCCCCACGGTAAAAACACATCCCTCAACATACCGCAGCACACAAAACGAGAGAGGTACAGATTTTTCTAGCTGCCTCCAAGTGAATTCATCAAAATTACGCCATCCTTCCGAGAGAAGTATTATTGTAGATTATAATAAAAGTATATCCACTGGGTTCGCAGAGCCAGCAAGCTCCAAACTACGACTAAGAACTGCCTTCAACTCCTTCCGCCTAAAGCTGCCAGGCACTGCCCATCTGCCCGTGCTTTCATCCCCAGCCCGTCAGAAGCACCCAGGCCTTGCGGACCTTCTCCCCGACACCGGGGCCGTGCCGCCGCTCCCCCCACCCAGCCCGCCGGTAGCGCGGGCCCGGCCCGGCGCTCCCCAGGGCCCGGCCCATGCACGTGCGCGAGCCCGCCGGCCGCCGGCACACGCCGGACACTCCGGTGCCACCCAGGCGAGGCCGAGCCGCCGGCTCGCCCGCCACAGGGCCGTGCGTGGCCTGGGCCGTGTCAGCGCGGCCCCGGCCCTCCCTTCTCCGGCGGCGGCAGGGAGGCGGCGGCCGGGCCTCGCTGCGCCCGCTCGCTCCCCGGGGGCGCACCCGCCGCACGCCGCGTTCGCCGCGCCCCCCCGGCGCCGCAGCCCCGGCCCGCCCGCTCAGCCCCTTCCCCCGCTTTACCCCGGCCGCTCTACCTGCGTGCCCCGCGTCCCCCGGCACCCGGCGGCGCTGCGGGGCCCGGCGCGGGTGCGGGCGGTGCTGGCTCGGACTCAGGTGCGCGCCGCCCCGCGCAGGCCGCCGCCGGCCGCCGCCGCCGCCCGGTCGCGCACTCGGAGCGCCGCCAGCAGCGCGGACATGTTGGAGCCGCCGTCCCCCCCGCCCGCGTCACCGCGCTCGGAGAGGCGGGCGGGGCCGGGCTCAGCCCGCCCGCCCCGGCCCGCCGCCCATTGGCCGCCGGCCCCGTCGGCACAGCCCTTCCTCACTGTCATTGGCAGATGCGCTCGCCGCTCACGCGCAGGCCCCGCCGAAAAGCTTTCCTCTGATTGGGTCTCCCTCGTCTGCTTTGGTAACTATTGGCTGCAGCTCTCATCAGTCAAGACGACAGCGCACGGACTCCGTCTTTCTCCGCACTTTTTTTTTTCCGGCCTCGCAGCCTCGGCAGGACTGACGGAAGCGGCTGTCAGCGAGCGCCCTCGCCCCTCCCAGCCTCCGTCCCGCCGCCCCATCCCCTCCCTCCCGGCGGCACGGTTTGCCTTCAGGCCATTGGCTCCCGGCGCCGCCACTCCCGCGGCCTCTCTCGCCCCGGCCGCCGCTTCGCCAAGGGGGCGCGAACCGACCCGCGGGTGCCTTATCCTGATTGGCCGCTGCCCCTGCCAATCAAGCGCGGCCGGCGGGGCAGCCGAGCGCGGTGCGGCCCGCGCCCCGAGCCGCTCCGCACGGCGATTGGTCGCGGGGCGGGCGAGAGGCGCGCGACCTCCCCCGTGCCCCACGGGGGGCCGTGGGGAGTACCCGTATGTGCGCGCGATTACATCACCGCCAGCCAATCAGGGCGCGCGGGGGCAGGCGTCCCGCCCGAGGGGGCGGGGCCTGGCCGCCCCGGCGGGACCCGCTGCGCCTCGTACGGCGCCGCTCGGGGTGCCGGGGCTGCAAAGAGCGGGGCTGGAGCAGGTTCCTCGCTCCTCTGCCTTCCCCTCTGCCCGCGGGGATCGAGCGCCGTGTCCCGGCTCAGGGGACGGAGGGTCCGCGGTCCCGCTCGTGTGGGTGCCCGAGTGAGGCGTCTCGTGGTCGCCCTTGGTGCCTCCACCGCGCCCTGCTGACACTGGGGCCGGCCGCCTGCAGAGTGCAATCACTGAAGCACAGAATCGATCAGGTTGGAAAAGACTCCTGAGTTCATCGAGTCCACCCCGTGACCGAACACCACCATGTAACTAGACCGTGGCACCGAGTGCCACATCCAGTGTTTCCTTAAACACCTCCAGGGATGGTGACTGCACCATCTCCCTGGGCAGCCTATTCTGATGTCTAACCTCCCTTTCTGCGAAGAAATTCTTCCTGATGCCCAGCCTAAACCTCCCCTGGCAAAGCTACATTCCCAAAATGGCATACCTCTTCCCACACCATAGTTCGCTGATGCCCTTGTCCCCTTCTTTATGCTGAGGTGTTTCCTCCCCACACACTGAATACATCAAAGTGAATGAACACCTGTCACACGCAGAACTTGAGACCACGGCTCAAAACACTGCTCGTAAAGCATTTTTATTTATTCATCTGTTCATTTTCTGGAGTGTTTACAAAGTAAACTGACCTTGAAAAAGTTGGGAGCTTTTCTATCTGGAGTTGAAATTCCCTCCCAGTCTTCCACATAGACACACTATGGGATTATTTTTCCAGGGCCTCCAGAGTTACGTCCACAGTGCAGAAAATGCTGTTCAGCTTTTGCCTCCAAGGTCACGGGCACCACCGCTCACGTTAGGAAATCCTTGCACAGAACTCTGAGGGCGCTTTTTCTCTCAGGTGACTGATGCAGCTACACCTCTAGGAGCAGATGCTTTGCTCTCTGTGGGTTCAAATGCATCTACTCCACACCAAGAAGATGAGCTATTCACCCCTGTGTGCCAGTACTGCTTCCCAAAGCTCCCTGCCAGTTGATAGAGCTGAATGAGAATGAAACCTAGATTGAGAATGAAACCTAGATTGCCTCAGCACAGGCACCCGTGAGCCAGTTCAGAAAGAGCCAGAATGCTGAGGCTGCGGTTACCCTTCTGTCATAGAAAACTTGCTCACAGACAAGCTAATTTGAGAGCCCAGACCCAGCTGCCAATCAACCTAGTTAACTTTGCAGTGTCCACATGATCTGGGACTCAAGATACTTTTATATAGCTAGGGATCTTTTTTCTTTTTTTTTTTTCCCCTTTCCTCAGGCTTATATCTCATAGTCATTTAAATATAATTCATGTATTATTAAAGCAGTGACAAATCTGGCTAAAAAATGCTGTATCTTAGGGTTGATTAATGCAAAATTTATTTAGCCTAGATATTTCTTGGATTTTTGAAACTTTTTATTTCAAGAGATTCACTATTCACTAAGGAGTTTTTTAAGAGTTTGGTACTCTTTAAAGTAATCATACATCTTGCACAGATTTCAGCAGGTATGGAACTGGGCTGTAATTTTATCAGGTCCCTGTTTGCATCCTCTACTTTGCTTCTTGGGCACCTGCCAGAGAGATACTCCGGGTATCAATAGATAATTTTGCTCAGTATGTACATTGTATACACAGCTACTACTGACTCTTCCATCCCATTTACTGTAGCAGCCACTCTTCCCCCCAGTGAAAACTAAAACAAAAGTCTACAGAAATACTGCAAGAGATCACAGATTAGGCTGACCCTGCCTTTCTCCTTGCTTCTAGCTTTTACAGGGGTTCTCATCCCCTTCCTTTTACCTAATTTCATATATGGCTTTATAACAAATTTAGAAAAAGTTTTCCATATCATCTCACTAGCTGTACAACCTTTACAATTCTTTGGGAAGAGTGGACTTCCCAAAATAATTAATATTACCCTACATTTTCTCTAAAGTAATAAGCGTTATCCCCTACAGCTTTTCAAACATGACCTGCTTAAATGTTAGAGATTAACTGAAAACCTACACTGTGCACACGAGTCCATAACCCAGTGTAAACAGCACATTCCTAATCAGTAGAAAATGTGCGTATCTGGCTGGTTTCTGTGGGCTAAAACTCAACGCTGGCATTGCTCAAGAGGTGTGTGTGGCAAGAAGCAAGCAGCAGTGACAGGCAGCAGGGGTGGGCGGTGAAGTAATAAGTAGGTGAAATAATGGTTTGTATGTGGCAATGTGGAGTTAATGGCTAATCCAGGGATTTTGTGCCATTTCATGGCTGGCTCCACTTAAGCTTCATTTAAGATTACCAAGGCAGGATATTTGTGGGAATATTTGTGTGTTGGATCAACGATGATGTGCATGCCTGAAAGAGTCGGCATTTTTTATTACAATGCCCATTTTACTCTTAGTGGTGATGAAAATAACTGTGAACTACAGAAATGGTAATAAATGGGAAATAGATAGTATGGGACAAAGGTAATTTGCAAACAGCTTTGATACTGCACTAAAGAGGAATGAAGGTGAGTTCTTCTACAGGGTTTTTAAAATTCTGATTTTTAATGTTCTATTGTTATTGGTGAGGCAATTAATCCTTCTAGAAGTTTCTGTTGACAAATCTCAATAATTACATTTGTTTAATGTTCAAATTAATAAACTGTAAATCAAGTCCTACCAAAAAATCAGTACCTTTGGGAAGCTACTTGATCTGGCAGTGTTTTCATGTAATTTTCTCACCTTTTACCTCAGTTTTATAAAAGTTAGCAGGTTATCTGAAGCATGTATACATCTAGTGTTTTAACTGGCCTTCATACTAGTTTGACAAATGGTGACTGCTCTGGTTTCACAAGAAGGCATTCTCAGACACTGACAATATTTATGGTACATGGTTACTTTTTTATCTGCAAAGCAAACAAACTCTTTCGTTTTCAGCTGAGTAAACTTCCCATGGAAACTAATTCACTAAAGAAGGGTAGTTAGTTCTTCACCACTTCCCTGTGTACCCCTTCTAGATTACACCATCTGTGAAGAAAGGAAGGAAATCACCACAGATAATAAGGTCATCTTCACATTAAGAAATGAAGGGGGAAAATTTTGAAAGTTTCATGTAATATTTTGCCTTGGTTTTGCTCAACAAGAGGAAGACTAAATGTTAATACAGCAATGGGGAATAGAAAGAATGCAGGATGGATAGCAAAGAAACAAGGACAGATACAGACAAAGGCTAAAAGTAATGTTACAGTGTCAAAATGAAATAATTGAAAAGTGGATATACTATTTCCAGTACTTTGGTTAAAAAAAACATGGAGGAATTTTAGAAAACAGTTCAGGACACTGTCCTTGTGATAAAAGAGCACTCAGTTCCTAACCAGAACATGTGGATTAGAGGGAATTTGTGGTTAAGCAAACACAGATGTAAAAATAATATTGTGTATTAATATTCTATGTTAAAGAAGCAATGTTTTGCAAATAAAAGGTAAATAAAGGTAAACTCAAAATTTAGTTCCAATATATTTTTTGAAAATATGGTTGCAGATTTTACTGAGAAAAGAAGGCCCTAAGATCATTCCAGACTCCTGGTGGAAAGTTTGGAGGTAGTTAGAAAACTCCATATTGCTGAAGAGATGGTACTCCTTGGTTCAAAGAAATAGCCAGTGAGATTTCAAATTGTCATTTAATATTTTGGGGAATAGATGCTACTCATGGTTGGGGACAGACACTCTGGACTGTGGTAGTAAATTAAATTCTCCTCCAAACTCTCACTGAGCCTGTAAATAGTAATGCTTTTGGGTGGTTCAAGAATATGCCCTCAAAGGCCTGATGATAAATAACCCTGGAGTCAGTGACCACAACTTGTGTTGTGAAAGGTAGGGGTGAAAGAAAATAGAACATTCTCAACTTCAGGAAGGGAAACTGTGATAAGTGAAGGGACCTGGCAACAAAATCGTCTTGTATAATGAAAACTTGAACATGAAAGAAACCTCAGGTACCTTGAAACCAAATGACTGGAATCTTGTATCTCACAGAACGCAAAATGGTTTTGAGGTAGAAGCCTCAAGGCATAAGTAGAAAAGAAGTGGCATAAAGAGAGGGGTAAGAATTATAAGCAGAGAGCATTTAACAGAAAAAAGGTCTGCTTCAGGAAGGATCTCAAACATCAGTAAGTGGGAGAATGACGGGAAAATTTATCTGGAAAATCAAGTTGATTTATGGTATATGGCATCTGAAAAAACAGCAAGATGTTATCCAGCTGTGACATAATAGTGTAAGAAGGAAGTGATGTTGCTTTCCATTGAGGAAGAAGTGGGGTTTAGAAATAGTCTGCATTTGATTCTAAAACTAAATGTGTATTTTTGCCTCAATTTTCAGTAAAGATGGTGATCTTGAACATGGGGTTGGAGGGTAGGATGGCTAATAGCTAGGAGGGAAAGGAAATTGCTAGTATTACATACAAGATGAAAGTAAAACACAGTCTACATCTTCTGGGCAGAAAGAACAGATAATGCCCATTCCAGGAGTCAGAAAATCATGTCAAATGAAATCATTTGTCTGGTAGTAAGCTTTTTAAAGTAAGTATGTCAGGAAATGTGAAGGTATAATGTTTGTTTACTAAAGGTAGTCTTAACCAGATTAACCTAAGATCTTCCTTTGATAATATCATTCAACTTCTAGATAAAGGAGGAGATGACAGGAATTAGCAGAGCACTACCAGAGACTAATGGAGGTGACGGAGTATCCATAGAGGATAAAGCAAAATCTCATGATCAGAAATTAGGTGTCTGAGTAAAGGTTGTTTCCTTTTCTTCCTACTATCACAACCCCTCACACTTCCCCAGTGCCCAGGATAAATTGGGATTAAACCTATTAGATATTTTCTTTAATGATGCTGATACAAGAAAGTGGTTGGGAATAAATTTGTAAATGACCCAGTGCTTACAGGTACCAATAGTAAGGAAAATTAGGAAACCACATACATTTAAACTGATAGAGAAATAGAAATGCAGTTAACGTCAAGAGTATAAAAGCAAGACCTTAGTATCAGAAATATTCACTAGCTGCTGGGAGCTCATCACTTCAAAAAGATGACAAAGAAGGACAGAATATGGTAGTTTATCACAGCATGATATGAAATGTCATTCAGCTTCAGCATTAG